CAAACTTGTCTTCATTATTACCTGAAAGTGCATCTTTGTATCTGTAGAATCATCCCCATAGTTACAAAAAAAAGTACAAACATTGCAATTTTGCCACACCCTAAGCCTATCCAACCTGTATTTTCTGGTTAAGTGCAAAAAGTGTATGAAGTGATACATGCACTGGTGAATACAAGGTCAGAGCCTGAAAATGAGGCAACGCTGTCACCAGGAATCCAACCTAGCTCAGTAGTTGCTGACTCTTTGCTGCACAGCTGTTAAACGGCTGAAGTAGAGGTTGAAGTAGAAACTGATGGGCAGTCTAAGCCCAATAACCAGAATGGTGTTTTAGAGCAGGATCTCCATTCCCCCACCCTCCACACACATTCACTGCCACGTAGTCCTGCCTTTGTTACCAGTTTCCAGATACGGGCTGGGCCCGCCAGGCAGGAAGGCAGCCTAACAGAAGAGGAAAATGCACAGTTGTACGGAGGTTGTAAGGAAGAGGTGCGAGGTGCAGGCTGAAAGAATATCTACTGCCAGGTCTCTGAAGTGCACAAGTCCAACGCACCTCTAGTTTCAGTGCTGGAGTATGGACTGGCATTTTTATTCCTGCTCACATTCAGTACGTTGCAGCAATACCTATGCAGCTAAATCTGTTGTGTCTTCCACATCATGTCCTTTTTAATGTTACAACAGCTTCGTTTGCCTTCTCCTCCCCCAAAATGAGGCTTCATTTGATAACGACATACCTATATGCCAACATACTATACTGCAGAGTAATCTGCATGCATAAATGCTTAGTGATTCCAAACAGCTGATATTTGAAACAAGTACATCATTTGCTCTTTAAAGAAATGCAATCTGTTCAATACCGGGAAGAAGGTAACTGTGAAGATTAATGAACAATTGTCTATAACAGTTCATTTAGTTTTGCTCCTCATTTAAGTCTTGCAGTGGACTATGCTACAGCTTCTAGGTTTTAAAATGCTACAATAGCCATTGCCATTGATCTTAGAAACACAAAGACTTGACTAAAATCTGGAAAGAGCAAGAGGAGCTCAGACTGCACACATACAGAGACTGTACTCTAAACACAGTTGTGCTTTCACTGTATTGCCATCATGTCTTGTTGGAAAGCATACATCCATCAGAAGGATGTGCTGGGAACCTCAGTACGACCAGTAAGAAAGCAAGCTCTGCCCTCCTGTTCAAAACTGGTGATAGAAAGATCCAGAAGTGAGGGCTATCACAATGTTGTAACGCAGTGTACACGGAGGCACTGTGAATGGAAATACAATACAGCCTATTTTTGAAGGGTGTGTGCATATGTATGTATACGCATATATGTACACATACACATATATGTAACTATACAAAAAGTTTTTGGCAAAATAACAGTTTCATTAAAAAAAAAAATCAATGCAATGAAAACATCAGCAATTTAAACTATACAAATCAAGTGTAAAAGCCACAGGGAAAAAGCAGCAAAGTCTCTGAAGTAGCACCTGTATCTCAGGGATGAGCTTGTGAATTTCGGTTCTCCTAATTCAAGACAGAGGTAATGTGTTTGCCCATCAAAACCTATTTTAACCAACTGACCACCTTCTCTCGTCTGCAGCAGTGGGGTATTTGAAAGGCACCATGATTTTCAGGACCCTTCTCTTCCCACACTGGCAAAGCCTAGTCGGACACTAGTAAAAGGTCAGGAGCATGTGTCAGCAGTAGAGATGCTAGCTGTGCTATCTGTGCCTGCCACAGTTTGTAGGCAAGATAAAAAGGCAGGGCAGTGGAGAGAGGATGAAGGAGTGTGCTCAGGATAGCAATGAGCCTGCATCTCCTCCCTGTCTATAGATTATGGTTCCTGGTCCTGTGTCCCTGATGTTGATTTAACACCTGTCTTGACAGAACGGAGCCTCTTCCTCAACACTTTTGCTACTGCATTATTTAAAGCACTTGGCCGTGTAATCACTAGGTTCTCACACAACTGTGCTGAAGACTGAGTGCAGAGAGTCATTTATCTGCCCACTATCATGTAAATTATACGGGCTGTTTCATTCAATGTAAAGGCTAAGTCAAAATGTTTCGTATTAACTGCAGAGTTATCTCCCCTCTTCAAGGAAGTCTTACATGCTATGGAAAAAATACTAGCCCTTCTCATATACTAGGTGTGATGCAAATGTCAACAAAAACATATTCTTGATATACTGGCCTTTACAGTACCTGAAACTGGAAGATCTTAATAGAGGGGTTAAATAGTGAGTTTCTTCTTTTAAAAGCTTTACAAGAGCTTTCCTATCTCAACTGCCCAGGAATCTGTTTTGTCTTCAAAACACACTAAAATCATTTTATGAGAGAGAGACCTTAAATGCCAAGTGTGTTTTTCTTAAGATATGTTTTTGTTCCAGTGTGGCACTCATCTGCTCAAACAGCATGTGGGAGTCATTTTCTGGAAGAAGAGAAAAGGGAAAGAAAAAAGAAAACTCAAAGCCTTCCTGTCCTCCACCAGGATCCGCTCTAACAGTTGTGAGGAGAACATATTTATACTTCTGTGTCGCCTTGCTACCACAATAGCTGCCTGACACAGGCTTGTACGCTGTTCGAGGGATGAAAAATCCCCATGGACGGATATGCCACAGTAAGAGGCCCTCTGATTAAACCACTGTGGCACAAAAGTTTCACGTTATTTCAGATAACAGATAATAAGTAACAGGGAGAGACAGCCAGGCCCTTAACGAGCCAAGAACATGAAACTGTCAGTTGCATGCTGCAGGATGATATATGTCTGGAAAAACAGTCAGACAGGTTTATTTACTTGGGCTGTAGAAGACAGTCAGTACCAGCAAACTTAAAGCTTACATGTGTTTTCTGTAACAAAAAGTCAAGTTTTCCTCTCCGTTACTGAGTCAGCAATTGGAAAGCAGATCATGCATTCTTTCTGCTGCCCTGAGGACATAAAAGTTTCTCTGGCTTTCTGGACAACTGTAAGCAGCAATCATCTATTTCAGATCTCCTCTCTAATTTGTGAGCTTCATCCTGAGAGGGCATACCGTGAAATACACCACTTTACCCTTCTTCTTGTAATGCTGGTACCAGGATGCCCAAAGAGCTCCAGCTGATCCTTCATGCCCAGGTTCTGAAGTAGAGACAACCCTGTGTTTAATGATCAGGAGATGAGGATTTTAGCTCTGTACTATCCACACTATCTCTTTCATACATGAGTCTTGTTTGCCTGTTGAATAAAAAGGTAAGTTGCAGTCTACATAGTGCTACCTGAAGAACATCCTTAAAATTAAATTAACAACTGAAACAATTAATAACAGGCTTCATTGAAAACAGGAGGCAGTCCTCCAGGTGCATCTCTACCAGAACACTAAGAACAGAAGGAATCCACTAGTCAGGGAGGAAAGGCTGCAGGTGGCTGCCATTTTTGCATGGCTGTCTTGTCTATAGCTTTAGCTGTACCACTGTTGCTACAGATGACTGTCTTGCAGCACTCACATTCACACCCTCATCTGCACTGTGACTGGAAAGTAGAACACACAGGTAATGATCAGATGTTGCTGAAGCTGGCACAGCGCTTACAGTACAGACTGATCAGCAAGACTCAGCAAGAACTGCCTCCGCACATATTTGAGTCCAACACGAAATGGCTTTTTCAAATATATTGCCAAGTGACACTGAAGTCCCTTGCAGCAGCTGGGGATGTTTTTCTAGACACACTGGGCAAAAGAAACACTCCCAAAGCTACCACTTGAGTTATGAACTCATGCCATCCATAGCTGAATTTGTTATTACTGTGCAACAGAGGACAAGAGGGGGTTTTTAGCCAACACAGCTTAAGCATCTCCAGGCAGCAGATGCATCCAAGTGGCAAAACCATGCAGGCCCCCTGCACCACAACTGGCTCAGAGGGCCCCTTGTGTGTGATGGTGACCCAAAGGTTCAGTCACTGGAGAACGACAGCGAGATGAGACCAGCAGAGATGCAAGTGAAGACCAACATGACTACAGCCATAGCGAACAGATACATGTAGTGTATGACTGGACCATCGTGTCTACTCTAGCACCAGTCTATAGCAGGAAGCTGTATAAGAAGTACTGGACCCCCACATCTTCAGCAGATGGGTAAGCACAGAGAGGTGATCTCGGTCTCACAGGAGCTGACAAGAGGAACAGCCTCTGAAGGGCACACACTCACCCAAGTGAGAAAAGACAGTCAATGTGTCCCTGGGTTCATGCCTGAAAACAACATCCACCAAGAACGTCAGAAGGCTGACCAGGTGAGTTTTCATGACAGCTATCACATTCCCAGTTACCTGAAGCTTATAGCATGTTAGAGGCACACTACAGGCTTCAATACCTCCTAAGGCTCCTCAGCGAAGCTACGCTGTACTTTGGTTCAGGTCTAACATATATAACTGTGCTGATTTACTTAAGTGAATACTAAATGGTACTTCTTTTACCCTAATTAGTGATGATTCCTTTAGTCTTTGAGCTTGCTGTTAAGTAACAGTCCAACTGCGACAAATTAATGAAAATGAAACAGCGTAAGTAAAGGCAAGAAGAAAAGTCTGGTGTTAAAGATAATGGTTTCAATGATAGAAAAAAAAACAGAACAATGTAATACTGCCTTGGGTACAATACTTGTTCCTTTTTACATTAGTGGTACACTTGCTGAAACTCAAATGCCTTTAAAACAGGCTTTGGCTGAATAATATAGGAGAAACTAAGCAGAAGTTGAAAACTTGCTCTACAGGCTGTTTCCCCTTCATTCATACTGCCCAAATACTGAAATATTTTGACTCAACTGTTCTGGTACTTTCTCTCTTCCCAGTGCATGAGGCTCCTTTTATAGAAATCATCTCTCCTGTGTTTTGCATTTTTCTCTTTGCAGTAGTACTGTTTCAGCTGTGCTAGTTGGACTGATCCAAGGAGTTCTCAGCATCTTATGTCTTTGTATTTTTTTTTGGTTGGGAGGCTACTGTGAACCTGAATTTAAAGGAACACATTTTCATTTTTGGAACAATGCACCAAAATTTATCTATGGAATGATTTTCTTTAAGAAAAAGTTGGGAGGCGAGGAAGAGTCTTTGTGAAGGTAGATGCAGAAATCTAGCATCTTGGAAACTGTGTTTGGCCTCAGTTTCTATAAACATGAAAAACGGGGAAATGGCTTATGGAAAAGCAACCCAAAGTAAACATTTCAGATGAGACAAGTGGTACGTAATAGTTATTTGTAACAATGAGGCACTATCTTTGAAAGACGAAGTAGAGCCCAGTACTATCAAAATGTAACAAAAGGCACGCTCATAAGTAACCCTCTTCACCAGTTGCCTGCACTCGGTTTTACTGAACCATCTTGGTATCTACAGTAGGTGTGCTGCATCACTTCTGAGCACAGGTCTCCACTTAGCGTCCTCCTTCAGAGACTGACATGCTATCCACTCTCATCTCTCTCAGGCTTCCAGTTTTCTTCTGTTTCTGCTTGGATTTTTTCAACATACGGACCTAAACCAGAAAGTTTTAAAAGAGAGTGAGTGAGTATTACAATATCTGTGGTCACCTATAAGCAGATCTAAAGCAACTAACTAATAAACAAGTAAAACATTGGAACTGCAACAGAAAAACATTTAAACACACAACTATATGAAACACCTATCCTTATAAAGCTATAGGATTAACTGGTATTTTTTATGTAAACACATATAGGCATGTATGTGTATATATAGATGTGTAAGGACATGTATATGTGTGCATATATATTAATGTACACACATATACATACGCATATATACACATAACACTATTAGCACTAACCTGATAGAGAGATAGAAATATTTCTCACTGAAAGGACAAGTTAGGTTTGTTTTCTCTCTCTTTGTCTTTTTCCCCCTTTCACAATTTCAATGTCAATAGAGAAGTTAAATTCTTAGGTAGCTGATGCTCTTCTCCTTCTACATATACATTGAGATATCAAGGAAAAACAGACACCGATTACTCCAAAGTCTGTGTTTCTCTGACCCTCCTCCTCCATTATTCAGTTTTCTCTTCTGCTGCTCTCTGACAGACCTTCCTTCCTCCAGCGCTGTGAGCAGACTGCTTCCAGCCTCACACGCTGCGGTACTACCATGGCTCTCACAACGGTGATGTGCTTCAGGGCAGGGGGAAATAATTAAGATACTAGACTGAAGCTCAGGGACAATTTTTTTTTTTAAACACAAGCCTCATCTGAGCCAGTGGAGACGGCCTTCAAACCATCCTCTGTAGAAACTGCTACGTATTTATCTAAGTTACCACACTCTGCCAACTAGCTCCTTTAAAGTTAAGCATCAGAGCACAGCAGACAAGCAAGATAATACAGTACTGTCCACAGGAGAAACAAAGTCAACTTGCTAAGACAAATCTACAGCCAGTACCTTTGGTCCTGCAGCAGAAATAATAATCTGACCAGGAGCCTGAATCCAGGGCTCTCCATCTACTTGAACTGGAATTGGCTTTAGGAGTGTTACACGAAAATACGAGCCTTGGGCTATGCGGATTCCTGATCGAAAACCACCTTGGACTTGACCCTGTTAGGAAGTAAAAGCCAGGGTATCAATCACCCCAATAAACAAGAAGCACAAATATTAGCTGCACTTAAACTGGGTGGATAGAATTTTATTTCCACCTGACATTTTAAGTTTCAAGTAAAAGGACTGCTTAGGCAAAATCCACAGGGGGTGCCTTTACTGGTGTAGCATTAATTATTTAAGTTAGTGCAGGAAGAAAAACTCAGATATGCCTGCAGGCTGCCAGAGGCAAAATAACGTACACAGTGAAGTCATTTGTACACTCAGGTTGGCCAAGGAGCATGCACTTACAAAGGTCTTGTTTGGTTTTACTTCCCCTCTGCATAACATAGTAAACACATTTTCAAAACACCTAACTATGCACGCAGACTTTGGCACATGTGAAGCTCAGAAGTCTGAAGGCACTTTATCAAACAGGGAGAGAGGCAGTTTTGCCAAACTTAACTCCATATGCATATATATATACTCAACTACATATATACATGTACTCAACTGCAACTAATGGCTGAGTGTTAACTGTAGACAGTGAAGCAAAGTGAACTTTGCTGCTACAAATTCTCTCGGGGAATGTGTACAGACAACAAATACGGGAGTAAACACCTTAACAGAAGATCACAAAACCAGAGCACAGGTTTGCTAACGTTTATATTCCAAAGCAACAGGTACACTCCTTGTTGCTTCTAACTTCACAAAAATTTTAAGGATCTCTACCAAACCACTTCTTGTAAGGTAGAAGAAGTATAGATCTTAACATCTTAACATAGATGCATGTGTTTTAGGACTAGACACTTGCAATGCACATGTTGTTATAAAACCAAAAAACAAACAGCCAGCCTGAGGAAATGTACATTTCCTCTGTTCTTACTGGGATGCCAACTTACCATGTGAACAACGCCAGTCACACCAACAACTTCCAGCAGGCCATCATCGATGCGTGGTTTCTCAAAGCGGTTATCGCTCTCAGACCCCCAGAGATCAGCTCCAGACCCCCAGCTGCAGAGAGAGCAGACCACAGTGGCTGCCTGTGGATCTGCCATCTGCCACAGAGCTCCCTGCCCGGTAGCCTGCAAGAGGTGGCTGGTTTGCCAGACTCCAAAAGCGAGACACTCTGCTGCTCCCCACCAGCTGGAGGAGACAGCACAGCTTTCCTGTACTGTAAAAGCAGGAAGTGCTTTCCTTGGAAATTTGGAAAATTTGGACTAGATCTTCTAGGAGTGAAAGAAGGCATGAAGTAAGTAGTTTCCATTTGAAAGAAAAAGAGTAGGTAAAAAGAAAGTAACTCCAAAGAGTTTTGGGGAAATAAAAAATTTTTTTTTTTTTTTTGCTGGGAAATACAGGTTACAGCTACACTAACCCTTAGCTTCCAAGGCTTAAGAACTTAACATAGATCTTACTGGTCTTGACAATATTCACGAAAGCTACTGAAGAGAAATTAAAGCTAAAAAAAGTAACAAGTTTTTATTTTTGTACCTGGCCAAACTCACTTGTAGTTAGGCAGGTATTCCTGTACTTCCATCCTCTGAAACACTTCTGACAATTTAACGTTCTGTTGCTTTTTGGGCAGTATTGACTCAAATCACTCGCTTATTGTTTTAGTGCATTGACTGCTCAGTACTAATCGTGATCATTTCTTTCCCACAGTTCTTGTCTGCAACGTATACTCATGTGTATGTGCACATACGTGTGAGTACGTGTAAATACATATATCTGAATAAAAAGTTGAAACATTTTCAGACTAAAATGGAGAGAGATACAGTTAGTTTGAGATAAGAGTGTACGTGAAAAAAAAATAGCATGGCAGCACTAATTACCTGCTGGTTTTGTGCAAACAAAAAACCTGCCTCTACCAACAGCACAACTAAGGAAGCCAGATTTCCTGCAGATCTGCCTTCCTTTCTTGCCCAGCAGTAACTTTAGCTCCCTGCAGGTCTCAGGGCAGCCCCCACAACCCCGCGAAAGGTACCTGAACTGTGGGTTTTCCACAGCTACTGAGGTAGCATCGCTGACCCCACATATACTGACCAGCTGCTGTAGGACCTGGTGTTTGACAGCTGAATCCTGGCTGGCCTTTACTTCAGGAACTGCTTAGGCACCTGGCCTCTAGCATGCCAGAAAGGGTGTGCAGGTTGATCATCTTTGATCCTTCTACAAGTCACAGTTAAATCCAGTGGATCGTTCAAACGTTTGGGGGAGGGGGAAAGTGGTAGCACATGGAACCACAGGCCTATAGCCAAGCCTGAAAAGTATGTTTTACTAGAAAACTGCTCCAAAAGAAGTCTGAAAACCTTTGGTGAGGAAATAATTGCACAGCTGCAAAGCCAGCGAGTCAGGCAACAGTCAGAAATACCCAGTAACAACCATCTACAAATCTGGACCATTTAACATTTTTTCCAACCATTTAACATTTGATGCTCAAATACCAAGAAGCGTTTCCACACATACAGCCAGACATGCATCCATACAGGATCCTTCCTCTCCTTTTTACCTGGGTATATTAATAAAAATGAGTCCTTCTATACTTGGTAACTCCACCTCGTGCTGGTCCACTTGAAGCTTTATGTCTTTGTGAAGATTTCTGGTATGACTTATCTTCTGCAGCCCAACTTTCACGTAAACTCCTTTGTTGTGAAACCTAGGAGCAGACAAGCATCCTGAAACTAAAAGGTAAGGAAGGCCCAGCACAGCACTATTCCTCGTACATATACCAGTATTGTCCTCTAGCAGGTAAGTTTCAAGAGTTTTTCAATTAAAACCTTCCCAAGTTCTTCTAGCTTTACTGTGAAAACAAAGCATAAGCCACTAACTGCAACTTCGTATGCCTCTTACTTAAGGGATGATTTGTGCTGTTGAGGTATGTGGAGATCTGTGAAATTTTACTACAGAAAAATCTTCCCTTCTTAAAGCGCTGCATGCAATGCCTCTTTGAAATGTAAACTTATGGGCTGAAAAACTGTTTTTTAATTAAAACCTAGGAGTATTCATGAAACATTTTAAAATGTTTTCTCATGCAGTGCTAGAATAATTAAGGCACAAAAACCTTTGCCAATCTTTGCCTTACATTTGCTAATTCATTTGAAATATACTCAGCTGTAGAAACTTAAAACATGCTTAGTAATGCTAACCTATGACAGAGCTCTAACATCTCTAATTTTAGAGTAAAAAAAGATAAGGAAGATTTCATGGCATCCCTAGAAACGTCAAAATATTTTAAGAATAACATAAACACATGTTAGTTAAACACAGTCTTTTCTTCTATAATGGAAATCTTTGGATACATGGCCTCCAGGGCAACCTTAAAATAAAAAGCATAAATTTCCATTATTTGACCTGACTAGCACATGGGCGTCACTGAAATCCAACTCTGCAAAATCTCTCCACATTATGTCTAAATGCTGTAGACATTCCAGTGGGGAAGACAGCCAGGTTAGCATGTGGGTTATAGTCAACTATTTAGACAGAAACCATTCAGTTCTTTTAAATTATTACATTGGGAATGATTTGTCCTACATGCTAACAGTTTTAAACAGCACCAGATTAAAGGTACCTGATTCTTAACATATGCTTTTACTCTGGAAAGGCAGTAAGATGTGTCTATGCTAAGACAGGTTTTGTCTGATTTGGGTAGAATTGAAATACAACGGAGTATCAGTAGGAAACAATACTTTACATATCCCCAAGAAGTATTAATTTTTACTGCATGAAGAAGGAAGCCTGCGGAAGCTGAAAGAATATGATCTTTGCAGATGCACTGCGAGAGAGAATCACCACCCTTCTTTGCACATCTACATGTGTGGGACATGATCTGGGGAGAATGTGCCAGTGGAAGTTGTTGGTCTACTGCTAGCAGTAGCCAGTAACATACTAGCTTGCCCAACTGAGTGGAAAGAACAAGCTTCTCCTCAAGCAAACTCTTGGTTAGATACATTTTGCAGACCACTAGTAGTTTCACTACAGTTAATTAGCATGGCAGGAAGGAGGATGTTGTCCTTGGAGCAGTCTCCAAGATCTTATTTGTGCTGAAGGAAATCAAGGTTTGTATCAGGTGAGACTCACATTGCAGTCACTGCTGTGACACAGATGGGGATGAGGGAGAAAGGCAGGGCATTACATGCAGCTCATCCATCCTCATCAGTTCAGCTGCAACACTTGTGTCACTATGTTATCCCAGAACTATCTGGAAGGCTCTCTGGAGTACAGATATTGAAGAAACATCCTACTGCTGAGATGAGTTTGGGGATTTGAACACCCTTTACTCTTAAAAGTCCCACAAAAAGGTCTCCACAGACTCTGGGACATACCACAGCATCAGCTTACACTGTTGGTTTAATCACCTCTGTGGTTGCTGTCCAAGCAGCCAGCAGCTCTGGTGGCCAGAGGAAGCAAGACCATCAGTAACTGCTCTCCAAGCTTTCATGAAAACAAAACAAAGAAGCCAGTCCTCAAGAGTCATGGAGAAGCAAAGTGAGCTGATGCAGAAAGCCAGACTTTTCGGAGCTCTTGCCAACTGCTGCACATCCAGAAGGGTAGGTTTGGGAACTCTTTTTTAAAGGTGATGGATAAGCAATGTGTGCCAGGCGTTTTTAAATTAATTCCAGTTTCCCATGAGAAATAATACACAGCTAGGTAACATCTCTCAGAAGCAGACCTCTCAGCACTGCAGCACACACCACAGGAAGCTATCAAGCAAAACAAAATGACCATCTTTTACTTAGTCCTGCAATTCAACAAGCTTGCCACCGGGTGGGAAACCACCACTGCAAAAGCGAAGAGCTCTGACCAATAATTGGCATCCATTTGGGTGCTTTTAGTAGGGTGATCTTACTGACTGGGAAAGAACTTTAGCCAGCTCATGTGCAGAGGACCCAAGATGGAAAAAAGTGAGTTAGACAGCAGCCGTTGTAGCATTTTAAAACCCACAACCGACAAACCAACCAACCAACCACTACTTCAAACCTTCCCACCATTGAGAGAGAACAGTTCTGTATCTTTGTAAAACAATTCTAAACTTGCAGTAGATCGTGCAGAAGTCTTTCTGCCTAACCTTACATCCAGGAGTCCGCTTGCCACAGCACAGGATTTGGATGGCACAAACAAGATGTGGTCTCTTCTGTAATAGGCAACTGTAAAGACTGCTACAGGATCCCATGGGAATAGGGGAATGAAGGCAGATGCCCTAATCCTTAAGTTTCACACTGTGAAAAAACCTCACACAGCTTGGCACCCAACAGTGTAAGCATCCACCACTGCCACAACATACATTGCTGCTATCTGCCCTGCGATGCACGTTCACCACTAAATTCCCCGCAGGGAAGCTGTCGCTGTGCTGTAAGCCGCTAGCCAAAGGTAAGGAGTCCTGAGCGTGTAGAGACTCCGCAGCGCGAGGCCAGAGAGCACGCAGCTTTCAGGACGTTTACCAGCTTAAGGTCTTGATCAAGAAGAGCACTTAAGCCTGTTTTTCTTCCAAGGACTACTCGCGATTTCTGTTGCAGCAATAGGAAACTTCCCGTTCTGAACGCAAGAGCAGTCAGTTCACATGCCAGCAGCTGCTGCATCTGGCACTAAGTAGCCACACTTCTTAGTTAATTTACTGAAAATAATTTTAAAAAGCACTAATCTTGCTGACAAGAGCAGGCACTCGCATATCCTGGGAAAGGGTAAAGCCAGCAATTTTAACCATCATCGTCACAGGCAGTGAAAGGCAATGATCATGTGTCAGCACTGTTCGCCTGCACAAGCTGTGTGTCTCCTGCAAAACCATACCTCAGTACCAATTTGTTATTTCATATTTCTTCTCCAGATCTTGAATCACAGAAATATATATCCCTTCAGATTTCCAAAGGTGAAAAAAAATCATCTCTTCTTTCCCACACACCCTTCAAGACACTCTGCTTGCAGTGTTCAAATACGCATGTTAAAAAAAGGTCTGTGAGAATGGTACCAAGTCATCGTCCACCACACTGCAGGTTCTGCACACTGGGAACTGACTGAGACAAAGATTCAAGGGATGAAAAGCACACAAGGCAATAGAAGTCTAAGCACAACCCTTAAATACAGTGGCAATATGGAAAGGACATACGTTTTAAAGCGCTGCAGCTTCGTAAAGTCATGAGTAGCATATTTTAAAGGAAGAACGAACTAACTCCTTCATTGTACTAATTGCACAAGTAAATCTATAAGTTTTATACCCTAGAAGAGGCACTGCTAGATGCAAACTTATTGCCTGATTTTTACTAGCTATTATGTTTTTAATCCAGTGGACTGGAAATGCAAACCAATGCCTAACAGTAACTTATGTACCACAAACAATATCCTATATTATTCCATTTTTGAGAAAAATACATAAGCAATGCCTGTAATGATAGGCAGAACACTGCAAGATAGGTGGAATTACACATCATTACACTCATAACTGGTCAAAGAACATTTTTAATAGTTAGGATTTGAATACTGCATAGTTGTAACTGGCTGTAATTCTCCCTGGCAACCAAAAGACAATTTAGAGGACATTTACTCACATGCGCAGGGTAAAGCAGGCAAAAACATTTTCTACAAGAAATTGCTGATTAATTACACAAACGTGATTTCTTTTTCCTCATCAATTTCAGTGATTATGGGAAGAAGAAAATGTACTATTATTGATTGATCTGCATGCCAGATAGGAGGAAGGTCTCTCTCCACACCTTTTAAATCACACATTCTCACTTGAGATACAGAAATCTTTTTTTATCCTTATTACCAGCACGCAGGTGCTACCACAGCACTAAGCGAGGGTGGGAAAGGTACAAAGAAGTTCCGAACAGTGTTTATTGCTCACGTAGCAACACTGCCCTCACTCCTGCTAAAGGCTTTGAGTAAGAGCTATTTCCACTACCCCACAATTTCACTGAACTCAACATTGCAGTTATTGGCAAATAAGTATAGTGAATAATAATGACAGGAGTTGCAAAAACTGCTTTAGTGTTCTCTCTTGGTAAAGGAAAAAAAATAGAAAAAAAAAGAAAAAAAGAAGAAAACCAAACAAAATCCCCGAATTCTGTGTTTATGAGTTCCTGGCTAACTTACTTCCTCCCTGTGCCAGCTTTGCCTCAAGCAATATTGTTTGTGGATACCTGTAGCATTTCAAGATTATGAGCCATAGTGTAAGTTGGAAGTTATGCAATACCACAGAGTTTGCCCTTCACTCCGGGTTTCCCCAGGATTACCTGCTATTAAATTTTCCTGGTTCTTCTTCTCTAGCATGATGGAAGTCCAAGCTCAACTCTGCGTCAATGCCAAGACCACAGTAATTGTTCATCTGCACAATCTGACAAAAAAAAAAAAATTGTATTATTTCCTCCTTATGTTTACAAATGAAGAGGTTCCAAAGTTTTTCAACAAAAGCAAGCTTTGCAGATGATCCTTCCAAGTCACTTGCATTTTGACAGATTCTGGAAAACATTTTCCAGAAACACTGCACTAAAAATAGAGCTGTACAGACAGCTGTTGACATGTGTAGTCATTATTTCCAAAGCATCGGAAACTTCAAAATTTAATCTTAATTGCAAGCAACAAGCACAAGGCAGTAGAAATAAAAGCAAACACAGAAACAAAACCAACCCAACTTCTCAAAGTGGTTCTACGCAATAACTACACAAGTTGCTGAACACTAATGCCGCTTATTTTTGGCATCAGCCATGGATTTATCATTACACCATTGGGAAGATGCTCTTCCCTACTTTGGAAGGTGATGATCTTACACCAGATGAGTGAAGAACTTGACCTCACCTACTCAAGCTGCATTTTAAATAGCTCCCTATATGTCAATCTCAAGTTCCTACAGATTTCAATCATTTCTGCAATTAATTCTTCCTTTGCATGCCAGTTCATTCCATAGCTTTCTATCCTAGTCCTTGACTCTCACACCTTTCACCTTTAAAAACCATATTGGGCACTCAGTGCAAATCAACCCTTGTCTCCACCAAGTGAAAAACAGATGGAACATGCACAACTTAAATCCTCTAACTGACACTTAATGCCTAGGATTTTCCAGCTATGGGACTAAACTATTAGATACTTGCTACCGTTATTACAACTTCCTATTTTCTTTTTGCCATCTCCTCGCCCAATTTCTTTGTTTTGTCTGAAGATAAACAGAACTAGGATTCACACAAAGCTCTGAAGTCACCATCTACAACCAACATTTTTATTTTTTTAAACAGAAACAAGTAATACGAACCAAGGAACAGGGAATTTCACTCAAAAAAAAAAAAAACCCACAGATGCCACCTACACAGACATGCAATGGTAGTAAGATGCCAGAAGGATTAACTTCATGTATATGCCACCAAATCATAGACATTTTTAAAACTGTTCAAGGAAAGACGACAGTACTTTTTTTCCCGGGGCGGGGGGATATTTTCTGGTCAACACTCCAGTTTCACTAGTGTTCTGGAAAAGTGTCTGGTGTTCCTTCAAAAAGCTTTTCTTATTTGAGAAACAGATTTCTTTCCAACTGAAGCAAATAGACATGCCACCGTCACTTAAATGTTTTCATTAATCCTCTATCATATACCTTTTACCAAACAGCTACAAAGTATGCTCTGCAGCCAACCGAAACTGAAGCACTAGATCCAGACATATTTCGTGTTCACTAAGGAATAGCTCAGTAAGGCCAAAGCTCAAAGACAGGTGTGCAATAAAAGATTAAACTATGTTAATATCTATCTAATCTATGTTAATAGGTATCTATCTAATATCTAGTGATTTTCACTAGAACAGCAGTTCCTATGAATCAAACCCAAATGGTGCTCAGCTCACCTTTGGAGGCTCAGGTTCTGCAACGCCATTCTCTGCACCTTCAGCTGGCTCTTCTGCATCCAAAAGGATAGTCCAGCGGTCCATAAGAACGTCATCCGCCTCATCCACAGACACCAAAATTGAGTAGGGGTCCTCTCCACTGTAGCCAGCTCCCCAGCGCAAGACCCTCCCTAAGTCATTACCTGGGCAACAATGAAAACCCTCAAAATAAATTGTATTTCCTAAGTTAGCTAAAAGCATCAAAAAGTGCATCAACCCTGTCCTACAAATCAAATTGCATTAAGGTGCTTCGAACAAGTCACGGAAGTAGTTAGATTGGACTGAAAAGTTAACAAGCAGAAAAAAATATCTAAGCCTTGTTGTGGTTGCACACGTGCTTAGTATCACATACTGATACTCTGTCTGACTTGAAAAGTTTTCACAAAAAGTGATAGAAAAACCCGTTACAGAGTCGTGAATTCAGGGTATGGCTGAGTTCACTGATCTACAACAAGGGCTGATGTACCTGTGGTTGTCAAGGGGAGATCTTTTGCCCTCTCCAGCTCCTGCCCCCAGAGACACATCCATAACCTGGTGCTCTTTTTTCCTTCAGAAAGCGTGACTGACATCTCATCAAAAAGCCAATATTGCATTTGCTCTCCAACACTGGCCAGAACTGAGTCATGGCATATCTACTGCAAAACTGAGGTGTTTGTCAGATGGATCATAGACTCATGGAATGGTTTGGGTTGAAAGGGTCCTTAAAGATCATTTAGTTCCAACACCCTCTTGCCATGGACAGGGACACCTTTCACTAGGCCAGGTAGCTCAAAGCCCCATTCAACCTGGTATTGAACACTTTCAGGGATGGGGCAGCCACAACTTCTCTGGGAAACCTGTTCCAGGGCCTCACCACCCTCAGAGGGAAGAATTGCTTCCTTAAATCGATTTCAGATCTCCTCTCTTTCAGTTTAAAGCCATTGCCCCTTGTCCTATCACTACATGCCCTTGTAAAAAGTCCCTCTCCAGCTTTCTTGTAGGCCCCCTTCAGGTACTGGAAGGCTGCTAAAAAGTCTTCTCAGAGCCTTTTCTTCTCCAGGCTGAACAACCCCAACTCTCTCAGCCTGTCTTCTTAGGAGAAGTGTTCCAGCTCTCAGATCATTTTTGTGGCCCTCCTCTGGACTCGCTCCAGCAGCTCCAAGTCCTTCTTACGTTGGGGTCCCCAAAGCTGAATGTAGTATTCAAGGTGGGGTCTCATGAGAGCAGAGTAGAGGGGCAGAATCACCTCCCTCGACCTGCTGCCTACGCTTCTTTTGATGCGGCCCAGGACACGGTTGGCTTTCTGAGCTGCAAGCGCACATTGCCAGCTCATGTTGAGCTTCTCGTCAATCAACACCCTTAAGTCCTTCTCCTCAGGGCTGCTCTCAATCTATTCTCCCCCCAGATTGTATTTGTGCTTGGGATTGTCCTGACTCATGTGCAGGAGCCTTAGCCTTGTTGAACTTCATGAGTTCACACAGGCTCACCTGTGTCAAGGTCCCTCTGGATGGCATCCCTTCCCTCCAGCATGTCCACAACACCACACAGCTTGGTGTCATCAGCAAACTTGCTAAGAGTGCACTCAGTCCACTGCCTATGTCACCAACGAATATGTTAAACAGTGCCGATCCCAATACCGACCTCTGAGGAACACCACTTGTCACTTGTCTCTACTTGCACATCAAGCTGTTGACTGCTACTCTTTAAGTGTGATCATCCAGCCAATTCCTTATCCACCAAGTGGTCCACCCGTCAAATGCATGTCTTTCCAATTTAGAGACAAGGATTTCATGTGGGACAGTGTCAAATGCTTTGCACAAATCCAGGTAGATGACATCAATTGCTCTTCCCTTATCCACCAATACTGTCACCCCGTCATAGAAGGCCATCAAACGTGTCAAGCACTATTTGTCTTTAGTGAAGCCATGTTGGCTGTCACCAATCGCCTCCTTATTTACCATGTGCCTTAGGATTATTTCCAGGAGGATCTGCTCCATGATCTTGCCAAGCACAGAGGTACGACTGACTGGCCTGTAGTACACCAGGTCTTTCTTTTTTCTCTTTTTAAAAATGGGGGCTATGTTCCCCCTTTTCCAGTCACTGGGAACTTCACCAGACTGCCATGACTTCTCAAATATGACGGTCCCAAACCTGATCTTCTCCTACAAAGGGCAGTTCTTCATTCTCCCAGTCCCTGCCTTTCCCTGCTGCAACTTGGGCAGTGTGGCTAGAGCACTCACCAGTGAAGACTGAGACAAAAAAGTCATCAAGTACCTCAGCATGCTCCATACCCAGGGTAATCAGGTCTTCTGTTTCCTTCCAGAGAGGGCCCACATTTTCCCCTAGTCCTCCTTTTATCACTGACATACCTATAGAAGTTTTTCTTGTTGCCCTTGATGCCCCTGGCCACATTTAACTCTATCAGGGCTTTAGCTTTCCTAACCTGATCTCTGGTTACTCGGACAATTTCTCTGTATTCTTCCCAGGCTACCTGTCCTTGCTTCCACCCTCTATAGGCTTCCTTTTTGTGTGCATAAATAAAGATAAACCTTCTGGATGACTGCTGCCCTCAGAATAATGATGCTTGGTGTGATTCTCACCTGTTCCTAAAGGTAAGATGGCAACCGAGGGCTCTGAGCACACCAGCTTGTGCCTGATCTCCTCCAGTGCACCAAGGACCCAGCCGACAGTGCCATCTCCTCCGCATACCAGCACTCGAAAGGAGGGAACTTTAGAGAACGTGTGAAACCTCCGTTGAGAAACAAAGAGAAACAAAGCAAAGGGGCAAAGAAATCTTACAATGCAGTAGAGGAAATGCAAAGCCTCTCAATATGCTATTTAAGATAACACATTATTATTTGATTTTGTGCCCCCCTTTACCATCAGTTTCAGGATCAACTTCAGCAAACTGAACGGAAAAATAGAAACTTTTAGATAAAGCTGTTTAAAAAGAGTGAAAACCACATTCTTCCAAGATTCTTCACAGCTAGAGTTAAATTGTTAATGACTTCTTTTTTTTCAAAGATACAGTGGTCTAACTATTCTGAATTTCAACGTGAACATCTATAACTCTAAATCCTAGTGGAGATGTTGATTAGTGGTGGTGGGTTTTTTTTTACTTAGTCATAGGACTCATAGTACATTTTCCTCTTTGTAGTACTATTTTCCTGGTCGCTCTTACATTTTGTGACTTCTCATCCTACACACTGAAATATCCTGCAAAGGAATTTTTATTTCCCGTTGCACTAGAACAAATGAACACGAGGCAGCATTTTGCCATAAAGCTACAGAAGAACTCTATGGGCAAAACAAAATGAATGAATTACTGAAGTTGCAGCTTGAACTGCCTCAGAAAGACAGAACTACACAGTTCTGACAAAACACTTCAGTTTGTGCAGCTTCTTTTTCTTGCTTCCTGCGTAAGCTGTGTTTCTCCCACGAAAGCTTTTGTTTTGAACGGCTTGTCATGACCATTCTTTGTTAATCCACTGCTGAAGGAATAAGGCTACTCTGAGTAGATTACAACCATCACTTCCAGTTTTATGAAGCTGGTAACAAAGTGGTGTTGATTAAATCAAGTAATTGGTTCCTGCATCCCCATAAGCACATTATGTTCCGTTCCTTGTATTTAGAAATGTTGCAGCTGTGATCAGGCAGGGCCTGTTGATTCTGCAATTGTGGCCAAGTTTCAAGAGTCAAGATAGAATATTTTATTATACTTTCCTGTTAGTTCCCATGAAACATCAGAGGCAATAAAAGCAAAAACGAGTCCTCATCAGGCAACGTGACATTTCTCTTTCCATCCCCATTCGATTATAAAATCCTTTTATTTTTAGTAATTATTAAATCTGTGTTACTGTAAAGTACATCTGACTTTCCCAGGACTGGACTCTACTGACAAGTACATCAGGCATTATTCTATTATCTTTTCTTTAGAGAACCTCTAAGTTTAAATCTGTTTTCACAGTGAGAGCCAGTCAGGAGAAGTGATCCACTTCTCTGGTTTTCAGGAACAGAACAGAAGCAATTTAGATCTTCATAACAAGTGAATCTGATCCATTATTTCAAAAAATAACAAAACAACATAAATAAAAAAAATTTAAAAATACAATGACTTACCCAGGCAGTGGGCCACCATTGGTAAGTTCAAAGACCTGATGTGGGTTTAGCAGCTTTCTAAAACTGTACAGCAGATCCCGACCTTTCAGACCACCACTTTTTGGATTCACAAATACAAGAAGCGGGCAGCAGTTCCGTGGTATCTTGGAAGCCTGAAAGAAGACAAGAAAAAGGATTATCCAAAATGATGACTAGGCAGGAAGATTACTGCTGCATCTCAGAAGTATTTTCTGATTCTTCCTCAATGCTTAGTAAAAAATTCCATATTTGATGAATAAAAAGATTCATGTCCAGACAATGGACAGGTTAGCTGCTGATCTTGTTCAGCTGGTAACTGAAGTTTCCTTAACGCACTACAACTACACAGTTGACCCTAACATTAAAAACAAAGGCACTGCAAGTAGTACTTCTGACTTATTTTCAGTAAACAGTCTGTGCCAAAGAACAGTGTGAGATAAGGTACCTTCCAGAGTCATGTACAATTCAAACACTTTCCCTGCAAAGAAAGGATTTCTCCTAAAACCAACTGAAACATTTGTCTTAAGTTTCGTGGTTGTCTTAGAATACATGTTAATTTATAAGGACAAAACATTTCAGAATGAGAGTTTGGGGCAGACACTGGCATGACCCTCCCCATGAAATAAGAGGCTAAAACCTTCTTTTAAAAATATGTCTTCAAAATTTTTAATCAGGAGGATTTAGTGCCAATATCTTGGCACCAAAATACCTCTCACCTCTACTGAAGCTACTGCTGAAAGGGCTCTCAAAGCATGGCCGTGCTGCGGGGGAGCTTGGTATCCCATCCAGAAACCATTCTAAAGGAAGCCACTGTACATAGCAGAGGAGGAATTTCCTAGGGTATTCTATAGACTCCATGGGAACAGTACCTGCATCCTCACTGGAGGTCAAAACTTCCAGCCACCAGAACCAGCCCCTTGGGACTAGTTTTCAGCCAGCCAGCCTAGAAATCATTCTGTAAAATGGTTTGTAAATGGTTCTAGAAAGACCAGAAAATGCCAACATTCCTTTCATTTGTCCTGCCACAGGGCTGTGAGGCAGGTACATTTCAGAAAAGTGCGTCAGGCATTTCAACACGCACATTTCAAAACCAACACGTTTGCCACAGTCCCCGAGTCATGGTAATTTGTATTTACAAATTGGACAGCATTCAGGGAACAGCAATTTGTCACGAAGCTGACAGGGTGGATTCAGGGAACAGAAAAACAGTGCTAAATATAAGTCAATTTAGACAAGAATGATTCGGGGGTCGGTAAGGCAGCAGCATGACCGCAGTGCGCAAACATGTGGAGAGATACCAACAGCTACGGAGGGGAGCAGACAGCACCCAGGGAGCCTGTCGGCTGCTGCCTGTGAGCGACCGCCAGAAAGCAGGAAGTAAGGCGAAGAATAGAGAAATCAGGATAAATTAATGAGTAATTTTGTATGGAAGCGAACTGGAGTCTGATGTTGAGATACCCCAGACCATCGTCTACCTGTGAGCTGACGTGGACACTCAAAAACACATCATCATTTGAGGCTTCCCAGTCTTTGAGAGATTTCCTCATGTTTTGCTTTCCTGAAAGAGCTGGGTGCTAATCTTCTGCAAGTCCCATCCTACCAGATGTGTCAAGATACCCACAAACACATAAAAATCCTTCTACTTTGTCTCGGCGCCTACATGAGAAATGCCCTCTGCCATCCAGTGTGACTCACAGGCACAAACAGAAAACACACTGGGAAGAACACCACTAAGCAGGTAAGAAGGTTGGTGGAGCAGGAATATGTCTCCTCTCGCCCCTTCCTTCCTCATCCTTTAGATTCTACCAGAGACAATCAGTTTGAAAATACATACGTTTTCTCAAAAGAAAAATTAGCCAAACAAGGGCTATTTTGGCTGACAAAGAGCCAGAGAAGCCTCAAAATTTTGTTTCAGTGGAAAGGTTTCACTGCTGGTAAAACAGTGAGACAGACGCTGCAAAGCTGTTCATGCAGCTTTCTCCAGAGGAATCATCTTCATGCTATACTGTGACGACTGCGAGGCCAAAACACCTCTCGCCTCCATATTCAGGCTTTATAGGAAAAGGGGAAGCAATTATTCAAAACTGGTCCAACACAGAACAAGGGTAATACATTTACTTCTGTTAAGCACATGGAAAGGATATTTGTAGCCAGCAAAGGAAGTCTAAGGAAAACAATGCATGCCACTGTCACAAAAAGGAAAGACTTCTTGAGTTGTAAGGTCAACAGCTCAAGGATCCACACATCCCAATGAGAGAAGTGAATTTCCTCCCCTCGAGCCATCACAGACATTACTAAAAATAGTAAGCAGAGCTCTGGCTTTTCCAGAAGTAAAGCCCTTCTCATTACTCCATGAGTTCTTGCACCATCATCTGCCATATGCCATTATGAATGGTCCTTTGAAAATCCCACAAGCAACGGAACAGCTCTGAAAGGAAACACCAGGTCCCATGGGGTAACAGGGCAAATCACTCCCTTCCTGCTCTCTCTGTTTCAGCTTCTACTCTGCCTTACCTTCTCACCTGACCATGACCCATTGCTTCCTTTTCAAAGCTTTTTTACTACCTAAATTTCACCTTCAGTCATTTCAACTTTCTGAACAATACAAGCTACCTGAAACCTCAGGCTTGGTCCAATGCCTGGAAACTTGTGGGGTTTAAAAAAAAAAAGGCGGTAAGAGGGTAATAGAAAGAAAAAATTATCTGTTCTGCAGCTCAAAGTCAAGAAAAACTTTTCAAAAAAGAATGAGAGAAAAGAAACCAGCCCAACATTCAAGTCAAACAAATACCTTACTTGAGTGTAGACAAGAATGTTTGATTACCTTCTCTTCTTCAGGAAATCAGTTTCTAAAAATACTGGGTTTGGATATTTAGAAGTGACATGTGGAACACATGTTTTATATTACTTGCTTTTATAGGCAAATTCTAACGCACTGGGTTTAAAACCAAGTAACTAAAATAATTCACAAGGAACTTCAGGGAATTAAAATTATTTTTGAGACGTGGTAAGCTCCAAGGCATTCAAACACACAGCTGTGTTTTGGAAAGTTGTCTGAGATCTTACTCAAGTAAATATATATTGTTGCAAATATATATTTACCGTTTCTACAAAACTGCCATCTAAATTTCCTAATTGTCAAGTGTCAATATTTTACCAAAAAAATAATAAAAAAAAAGGGGGGAAATATTTACCCTGAATGCTACTAAGTTCCAGAAGCAGTTGCAGAGAATGCCTGGAGCTAATACCTGCATGTAGTGTAAACTGAGCAGTCCTACCACTCAAAACTATCTTTGTTCAAGTATGTCCAAATGTAAATCCTTAACTATACCTACTTAGGACTAAATGCACCTATGTAGAATAAACAGAACTGTTCTACAAAGCGCTCAGCCTTACAGTTAACTTGCTTCCCATCATCACTCTTCATTAAAGAAACACTGCTAAATCTGTGGATACAGGCCAGCTTCTAAGCAAATTATTATTTTTCAGTAAGGGTTAGAAACTCTGTGACAGTACAGCAAAGCAGAGCTGCTGCATCGCTTTCTGAAAAGTACAGCTCCGTCAGGATTATGGCCGCATGGGTAGTACTCTTTACATTGCAGAATTTTTTTTAATCCCTTAATAAAGCCCCAGTGGGGACGTACGAATGAGTTTGTTACTGGGCAGAAGGGGATGCATGACTCACAGCCTGAGGACTCCCTTCCCCCTTTAGCCCTGGCTCTCTAAGCTTGAGGAGTGAAATCTGCAGAGAGGTTTTGTGTTGGGTGGCGTTCAGGAAGGAATTTATTGCTCGTTTCTTAGAGACAGCTGAAGGAGGCCGTGTGATTTAGACACTGTGACGGTCACTAGGAATTGCTTAATTTGTCAGGATTAGCACGACGCGTCTGCAGCCTGGGGCAAGATATTTATTATCCACGCTAATCCCCTTTCCGTTGAGCGTACTGGGTAATCGCATCTCACAACGAAGCCAAACAAGGCATTCTGTGCCACAGGCCTGCCAGCACGACAACCACAGCACATCTCCCAGGGTGGTGGGCTGTCTCCAGGAACTGCTGATACCTCTAAGTGACAAGTAAAATTCCACATTTGCAAGCAGGCTGTCTGCAGCATCTCCCATGTGCAAGGACTCATGATGCCCCAAGCACAAACTTCCTTCACTCTGGCCAGAGAGTAGTCATTGAATCTGATGAGGACTGATGTGCAAGGCCTCCCAACGCAACCTGAGCAGCAGCTGGGTCAACACAGCAGGAGCTCAAGCCTTTTCTTTACTTTTTGGGGAACTGTGGCAGTGGAAGAAGAGTGGAAAGCAATCTTTCACAGTGTTTTGACTAAAAGGGTCATTAAACTATCACACTTTTAAGTTGGACACATTTGTGTGAGGAATTAGTGGAAAGATTGAAATGCAAAGTTTCACCCATTTGTGAAATTCCCACATCTTTTTCTACTACTGTTAAGGAACCTAAATACAGTACATCAGTACTCCACTGGCAAGTGGCATTAGTGGTGGAGCCACAAAAACTTGTCACCTTTGTGCTGATATTGGCCTCATACAACTCTGCCGATTTCCTTGTTTGCCAGTACTGCAAAAGGAGTTCTGGTAAATTAGCTTTCAATTCAAAGATTCAGCCCTGCCATGTCTTTCACTAGCGACCTGCAAAGCACCAATTTACTTCTGTGCTTTTATTGACTTTTAAGATTTGTTATGTTTGTTTGTTTGTTAAGTTGCAATTTGGAGAAAACATTCACTAACTGAAACCCTGTGGCCTTTGTTTTATCACCCATTCTTCTTCTGAGACTTCACATTCACCCTTCACTCTCTATTTCTTTGTATTTCACCCATAAGAGCAATGTCAAAGACAGTATAAATTTAATATTGTGCTCAGTTCCTGTGTAAGTATTTCCTGGTGCTGCATTTAAATGGTCATATATATAAACAAAGGCTTACAGTATCGTAGGATAAAAGGATAATCTAGGTTGGAAAGTACTTCAGGAGGTCATCTAGTCCAATTGCTACCCAAAGTAGGGTCAACAATCACTGATTAGTCTACTCTGGGTAATGAGAGAATGGCATAAGCTGAGTGGCCAAAGAACATACAAACAACACTTGAAATATTATTTAGATTTAACTCTTGGCTGATTTCAGTGAGATGACCAAATATAAACAATACATGCTGAAATGGAAACAAAATGTATGTGCACATGTACAGCCCCTCTCTCCTTCTTCTGTATTAGAAATTCATCCCTAGCAATGCCCTGAACTGGAGATTCTAAAAAATATCTTGCATCAGATAAGATAGCATTATTCGTATTTTCCTGGCATCAAGAAGTTCACTTCAAACATATCTAGTGTCAGAAAACCAGACACAAGTAATCAACAGTGGAGTATGTTCAACTTCACACATTGTGCACAAAATCTAGGCTCATAATGCATTTGCCTAAAAACCACTGAAAACAAGCAACCAGAAGCAGTCTCATCTTCATGCTGTCTTCTGTTCCTGGTAATAGAAACGCAAACATAATTTGGATGAGGAGGGACCTTGGTTCATAAGAATCTCACAAAACACAAAGCCTCTGCAGACACAAGACCAAGCCTCTCACTTTTTTTGGAGGGGGGATAGTTTCTAATCTTGCCAGTTTCATGTAAGCACTGCCACTAGTATCTGCTCATATAACAAAATAATTTTGCCTTCAGAAAACTTTGACAAGCACGGGACTCTTCAAATGGTAAAAGCAGTTAAGTCAGTATGCAACCATGGCTATTGAACTGGAGACCCTCCCATATAAAGTTGTTTCATAGTTCCCATAGTTCACAGTTTTTTAAGTTTTCAATGGAAGTTCTAAGTCATCAAACCAAGACCCTCACTTCACTTACCGTCATTCAACTCCAGAAAGACAGTAACTGCAAGATACACAACAGCTCAGCAGAAAGTAACTATGGCCACACTCTCTTTTGGACAGAATCTACATCATCCTAGTTAAAAATCACTTTGCTCAGTGAACCATTGCACTTTTCACCCTGAATCTGCTTTATTAATATGAAACCTATTATTAAACTAAGTGATTCACAGGAAAGTGATTTGTAACCATAAAAATTAATAATCAGAATCAAGCCTGAATTTGTGAAAGGACTCTTGCATTAAGTCTTTCAAAAGAGTATTTTCCTCTGATATCCACAATGCAGCATTTAAACAAGGTCGAACTCCCTCTGCTACAGAATGAGGGAAATGAAGATACTGCAAATGTGAAGATTAGCAGCAGTACTTTTACCTCATGGTTACCGAGGAAATACATTTAGTCCTCCAAACAAAGTTGTTGTAAGTGTTTTAAGACATGCCAGCCAAAACTAAAACCCCACCTAACTTTCTGATCACTGAAAGAAATAAAGAGGAAAAAGAGAATTTTCATTTTCTCCACTTTACAGTTGTATAGTTATGCACTTGTATAGTTATTCCTGACAACTCAACAGTAACAGAACAAGTGACTTAACCCAAATAAGTATATCATATATATGAAGTATTTTTTTTCCATTCGCACTACTTACAGAAACTCACTGTATGGCTCCTTTGAACAAAATGTATTTTCATTTACTTCCAGCAGAAAAAGTCCTAAGGTAGTTGTCTTCCTTTTAAAGACACATTTTAAATTCAAACCCAACTCTTACCATAACTTCAGGAATCACCACGGCATGCAGAGGCTTGTCATTGACAGTTGTATCTTTAACGAGCATATATATTCTTTCAGCTTCAGAAAAGCAGGAAATTTCGAGTACAACAGCACCTGTAAAGAGGCATCAGAACTACATTTTGTATTTTCTGTTATTGTTAGGAAGTCAGTATCATCACAGCGAAAGTTAACACAGGATGTTATTCAGTAAAAGTTACTGTGCAACACTTGTGGTTGTTGGTTATCAGCGAATTGGGCTGTTTTGGGTTTTAAGCCTTCCCTCATACCCCCAAACACACCCTTAGCTTTGTTAAAGCTAAGTAGTTTGAGGACAAGAAGAACAGCAGCACAGAAATAATGTGTATTTAAACACTTCCTTTGAGCTTCAGACGTATGGCCTATTTCCATACTCTTTATTGTAACTAATAGGCCGTTCTCATCATGTGAAAGTGACAAAGGTATCATGTTTCATTTTGTATCTCACTATTAAAAATCCAGTAGTTCCATTCATTGACCGTATCTCAGTAAGAATTATTACAAGCAAAGATTTGGTTTGAGAATCAGTTTAAGATCTTTATGTCAGCTTAGGTCCTGTATGGGGAAGTTGGGGAAGAAGGGAAGGCAAAAGAGAAAAATAAAAGAAAAGAAAATACTGACAAGTTAGTTTAAAATATGATATTTAGTGAGGAGGAAAACAGAGCAGAACAAGAACAAAGTGCAGAACAAGAACAAAGTGCATAACAAGACAGCACATGAGATATAAGCTCATGTGTTGGTAACACAACCTGGCTGCAGCAAAAAGTGAAAGTCAGGAAGTTATCCGAAACAAAAATACTCAGAAAGTGAAAACACACAAAGGACAATAGAAACCACATAAAGCAGAAACATCTAAAAAAACCCTGTGCAGGTAAATTCCATTTAAATGAAGCTGTGACATGAGAAGAGTAACACAAAACCACTGACAAACATGAAAAGTAGAAGACACATCTGAAGGCTTTATGGTTTTCCTTAGGAAAAAAAAAATCGGTATTAACTAGCCATGTGGAGACAGTAAATGCACAAAGGAAGCATGCATCAGTCTTCAAAACCACGCTACAGGAAGATTCATTTAGCAATCGTGAAAGTTAAACCTGTCAAAGGCCGTGAAACATCTCAGACATGGACACCTAAACATACAAAAGATGAATTCCACACTTTTAAGTTTTACCAAATGCAGACCTCCACCTGACGACTGCACTAAAGCTGCACAGAGCCACTGCTGCTCTGGCTCTCAGAAGCCTCACAGCTTCTCTGACCTTGCTGAAATAAAATTTGTGCAGCAAAAGGAAAGCAACAGTTCAAAGGATGAATGCAGAGATGAGTGTACTGATTTTCTTCAGGCTTCCAGCAACTGAACCCCCACTGAACACCGTGCTAGGAAACAGTGACTGTGAAACAATCCCATCAAGTTCAAAAGCAGTACTGAATTATAGTATTTTAGAAGTCAAAATAAAGAGAGTGCACTTGAGGGGTTTTTAAAAGTCCAGTAGTGTTAGACTATTCGGTTGAAGTGCAACTTCAAAAATTATTTTTATGATGAAATATCACCATTTTCTGGTGCACAAGGCATGAAGTCAACCTTTTAATTTTTTTTAATAAGGTAACACTAATCCACTGCTCTTCATAAATATGTGTTACATTCTATCTGAAGGGCTTTTTGCTTATGCAGTAAGACTAACATACTCTGAGCTTAGAGCCTCTAGTATTAGGCTGCAGTTTTGAAAATAGACACTGTTTGCAAGAGTAAAAAATCTTAATGCTTACCTTGTGCTTGATAAACATGAGTCACAGAGACTACATTTGCTGCAAAGAGTAAAAATATAAACACATAAAACCTTGGGCACATTTAGAGTAAATATTTAAAATATTTTTTAAAGTTACATAAATATAATATAAATAAATATTAAAAGTTATACAAATATAGGGAGAACCTCCAGCTAACACTTTCCCTCTCCTAAGTTTACTTTGCAAGTTAGAAAAGCTAAACTGATTTTCATAAAAGGTGACTATGAATTCTTTCTGGCATTTAAAGCTTAATTCCTCTTGAAGTTACATGAAAGATTGGGAAAAACGCTTCTTTTTGTGAAACAAAAAAGCACAATGCATTCCTGGCACTGTTCATAGAACACATTGGTTGAAAGACTATTACGAAAAATCAACTACACTTCTTTGAAAATTAAAAATAAAATTCTTTTCACTGAGTGCTTGTCCATATGTGTTCCCACACATTGCTCATACTTCTCCATAACCAGGCACAGAGCTCATTAACAACATGGAGGACAGCCCACTCAAAAAATGTCACGAGATTAATAAAGACGAGGAACATTCATGCACAGGGAATAAAAATGCATTGCCATAATTTGAATGGTGTAAGGTATGTAAAGTTCAATTCTAAAAGTGATGTTTTTTCACAAAAAAAAACCCCAGTGTTGTCACATATAAATCAAGCGATGTAATAACGTGAATAATGAGCTGTCAGATCTCTCATGCAACCAAGAACACGTTAAAATTAATTAAAAAAAACAACCTATGAGAGTATAAGGCAGACTGATTTTTCAAATAAGGTCAGAAAATGTTAAGAAAAAAACAACAAAAAGGAGCAATAGATGCTACTACATTTTAATCTGTACAGGTGAATATATCTCAAAATGTACCTGCTTACTTACTTTTGATAGCCAATTCATCCTTGAGGATATTTGTGTATTCTTCAGGGGAAAGCTGAGGTGGAAGGCCACCAACAAATAAATTTACTCGTACAATCGATTTACTGTTTTCCACAATGTAAAATCTTGTTTGATTCATCTGACGTATTGAAGTCTACCAAAAAAGAAAAATAAATTACATGACGTTTGGCAAGAAGATACTGTGAAACAAAATCCCAAGTAGTTCTGAACTTAGCAATCAAGTCCTCTATGCCTAGAGAATATCATGAACAGAAAGAAACTTCAGTCCGACCACTTGGCTTCTCTACAGACGTGCCAGTTGAGGGGGTAACTGATTATTTACTTTTTCTGTAAGAAAGGGGACTCTACTTGCTATAAAGAAGCATCATGTTTCTTTTTCATATTTACCTTTCTTATGTCCTTGAGTCTGTTAAGAATCAGTTCTTGATTGTCCAAGACCATACGCTGAACTAGAGACAGCAAGAACATTAATCATGTTTGAAAGCGCTGTAAGTTATTATCAGGCTCAATTAACCAAAAACGATACAAAAAAATTCACAACTCTGCATACAATGAACATTAACATAAACGACCATGCAGACCTGAACTACTCATTATTCCACAGAAAAGCCACGCAAGGTGCTTTGAACAGTCTGACTTTGTTCACAGTTCTTAAAACACCAGCCTCCTTTAAAAAAAGGCAGAAACAGGTTGAAGCCACTCAAAAGACAAGCAGTACTTCAGTAACAAGCTGTTCGACAGCAGACTTTAAACTACATTCCCTGACAACTACAGTAATAACCAACTTCTGTATTTCATTAAAATATTAAAACAATTTTAACAATTTCCAGCTAAAGCAATGTTGTAAAGGAAGCTTTAAAACAGAGGACCAGAAACCAACCAAGGTAAGACACAGGCTACAATAACCTTATAAAACAACTTACTCATAATGCTTACAAAGAAAGCAAAGTATCAGTCCAGTATTTGAACTACAAAGATCTACAAAGATATTTACTCGGATGTGGCCAGGGCATCATCAGACTACTTCAGTGGCTTTATTTATCTCTCCATGCAGCCTTACAAATAATGAAGCACAAAGGGATGTGAACTTGGAGAACACCAGCTCAGCTCCTGCAGGACCACAAACCTCTTGAGCAATGCTAGTACTGCGTATTTCTGTACTTCATAAAGCACACACACACTCCTTGGACTATCACAGGACTCAAACGTGTGGTTGGTTGGGGCAGTGTCAGGGGGAAAGAGGAGAGAAAGAAGGGAGCCAAATGAACTTTATAATTAATGTTTACTAAATAACTGCAGTTAAGAACATTCTGTCAGTTAAAGGCAGCTCCCCAAAACAGAGTTCTTTGGCAAAGTTTCAATACCCACCAGAAACCACTAATAAACCTTTATGTGATGAGGAAAGAGAAGGGAACCCTATTCCCACAGGACACACAAGATTGAAAAGAACCAACATCACTTCTGATTAAGTATTTCAACATGAATTCTGATTTGTGAAATTTCATTTGTGAAAGCATTTATTGTAAAACAATTAACTGTGACTGTGTTAAAAATTAAAAAAACAAAAAAGCTAGAAGATCAGTTTCAGACGTGCCTTTGGTCAGTGCTTCACTTACCTTGCTTACTGCCCATAAGCATTTCCACCAATTTGAAATTCTGGAGGCACTCCATCTGCCAAAAGATGCAACATGTAAGTGTAGTCTCCGAATGAAATATAATTTTGCCAAATGTTTACATTAACATTGTGTTATATGCTGCACACACAGAGCATGGAAAATCAAGCAATTTCAAATCACCCAAGATGTTATTCCCCTAACCCACTCCTCCTGAAGCAGGAATAATCTTCATTTTACACACTCAGCCTTCCACACATGGCATCAAGCTCCCGTGCCCTTAACTATGGCCGCATGCTCACAGCCCCAAATTGATGGGGCAGCTGTAAAGCACAGTTAACTCTACCCCCTTTCAGTGACCAGCAGCTCAACTAGGATATTTTCCAGCATGTCCTTCCAGAGAAAGTAGGCAGGACTGGGCATGAACTTGCTCTTTGAGAACATGGCCCAGGAAACAGGCTTCGCCAAAGCAGGCTGACTGGTCCCCATTTCCTGGGGCACTTCACCAGCACTGATAGAACAAAACCCTCTTCACATGTGCCACAGTCTCTTCTTCAAACTATACTGCCAGGGACCACCTGAGTCCCTCACAGCCAGATAAGAAAACCTGGCACAGCCAAGAGTTGAATCATTTAGTAGGATTATTGCAATCCTGGAAACATACAATATTCAGGATTTTTGGCCTTGAGACTCAGAGGACAAATGATCTTGCTTTAAAAGCCTCAACTGCCTACATTTGCTTTGCCTGAAATTTGATGAAACAGACTTGGAGGGGATCTTCAGCACAGGCAAATCCTGGATATTAAAAAGAATAAACTAGAATAGAAGAGATTAGACTATTTCAGTTGGAAGGGAAGCATCAATGATCATCTAGTCCAACTGCCTGACCAATTCAGGGCTGACCAAGTTGAAGTATGTTATTAAGGTCATTGCCCAAACACTTCAAACACTGACAGGCATGGGGCATCAACCAGCTCTCTAGAAAGCCTGTTCCAGTGTTTGACCAGCCTCCCAGTAAAGAAACACTTCCTAATGTCAAATCTGAACCTCCCCTGGCACAGCTTTGAACCATTCCCACGCGTCCTATCACTAGGTACCAGGGAGAAGAGATCAGCACCTCCCTCTCCACTTCCTCTCCTCAGGAAGCTGTAGAGAGCAACAAGGTTGCCCACTTTTCTCCAAACTATACAAGCCTAAAATCCTTAGACGCTCCTTATGGGACATTCCTGTAAGAGACTGCCTATATGCGCATCTTTGTACAGGAAAAGGAGAAAATCCTTTAAAAAACTATCAATATCAGAGAAATTTCAATTGAGCTAAGTAGTTAAGTCTCTTACAACAGCAAACTAGCTTTCCAAATACAGAAACGTGGAGATCCTCCCCAGAGTATTCAACTATCCACTGTTTGACAGTTACTTTTTTCAGACGAGACAAGACTTCAGTAGAGATTCTCCAATTTTTGTTAAAAGGTCCATAGCACTTGAGGAAAAGGACTGGAACCCAATCTTAGAACCATCCTAAGGCGCAAAACAAGCTGCATGCGCTACATAGCCACCTACACCTAGACAGAGATCTACAATTACCACCTACTGCAGAGAGCTAGCCTCATGACATTCCTACGTACCCTGTAAATAACCAGTGGTCGTCGTGTAAAAGGTGGTGGTCACCCTGTGTGAGCACGGCTGTTCTCTAGAGCAGCGAAAGCGTGCCGATCTGCTGGCGTGCTCACGAGTCCCAGCTGCTGAATGAAATGCACACACTAGAGCTTCATGCCTCCACAGCTGAGTATCCGATTGATATTGCCAGTGCTTTGGCACGCTTGCAAAACCTAATAACGTCTTTCCTAAAAGTCATGCTATCTTGGTGCCAACTGTGAGACAGACAGGCAGACTGAAAAGAGATCATCTTCCAAGGAAAACATGTGCATCTACAAGATTACAAGACGTATTTAATAATTTCCAAAGCAGTGGGAAGGAATGCAGATGGCAAAGAATGTCCTTATTTTTTTTCACAGGTAGGGAAAAAAAGTCTTTGTAGCCAAAGCTTGATTAGAGTTCAAGCTGGCCAGCACTGTGAAGGACAACAAAAAGGGCTTTTTAAAGTTTTAAAGTATGTTAACAGCAAAAGAAGGATCAGAGATAACGTTGGTCTGTTACTTGATGAGGCCAGTTACCTCACAAATAAGGACGCAGACAGAGCAGAGACATTTAATGCCTTCTTCACATCTATCTTCAATACTGATGACAGGCTCCAGGGAAGCCATTTGTTGAAAGATAATGACTGGGGGAATGAATGATAAACACCCAATCAACTCTGGACTTGTTTGAGACTTGCTGCTCCAACTGGATGCACATAAATCTATTGGGCCTGATGGGATTCATCGCAGGGTACTGACAGAGCTGGCCGACGTCACTGCGAGACCACTGTCTGTTATTTTCAATGGTCTTGGGAGTCTGGAGGGGTCTCAGCTGACTGGAAGCTGGCAAATGTCCCAGTTTTCAAGAAGGGCAAGAAGGAAGACCCTGACCTTGGTAATCACAGGCCTGGCTCACTTTTGTGCCTGGTAAAGTTTCAGAGATGGTTATTCTGGGAGTTAATTGAAAAACACTTGAGAGACAATGCAGTCATTGATCACAGCCAGTACAGGTTCACAAGGGGAAAGCCCTGCTTAACCAACTTAATTTCTTTTTATGAGAAGGTCATCCATTTAGTTGACCAAGGGAAGCCAGTGGATGTGGTGTTTTTGGATTTTAGTAAAGCTTTTGGTAATATTTCTCACTGTATCCTCCTGGATAACCTGTCCAGCACACAGCTAGACAAGTCCACAAAACGTCAGGTGAGCAATTAGCTGATGGGTCAGGCTCAAAGAGTTACAGTAAATGGGGTTACATGAGGCTGGTGGCCAGTCACCAGTGGGGTTCCCCAGAGCTCAATTCTAGGGCCAGTGCTCTTCAATGTTTTTATAAATGATCTGGACGCAGGAATCAAATGCACATTAAGTAAGTTTGCTGATGATACTAAACTAGGAGGAGCTGTGAACACCCTCGAGGGTAGAGGTGCCTTACAGAGAGATCTGGATAGACTCGAGAGCTGGGCAATCACCAACCATATGAAATTTAAGAAGAGCAAGTGCTGGATTTCTTCACCTGGGACAGGGTAATCCTGGTTATATGTACAAACTGGGGGACGAGAGGCTGAAGAGCAGCCCCACAGAAAGAGATCTGAGGGTTTGCATTGATGGCAAGTTGAATATGAGTCAAAAGTATGCCCTGGCAGCCAAAACGGCCGATCATGTCCTGAGGTGCATCAAACACAACACAAGATAGCTGGTCGAGGGAGGCGATTGTCCCACTCTACACTGCATTGGTGTGACCCCACCTCAAGTACTGTCTGCTGTTCTGGGCATCTCAATATAAGAAGGACATCAAACTTTAGAGTGTGTTCAGATAAGGGCAACCAAGATGCTGAAAGGCCTCAAGGGCAAGACTTATGAGGACAGGCTGAGGTCACTTGATTTGTTCAGCTTGGAGAAGAGAAGGCTGAGGGGTGACCTCATCACAGTCTACAGTTTCCTCAAGGGGGGGCAGTGGAGGGGGAGGTGCTGATCTCCTCTCTCTGGTGACCAGCAATAAGACATGAGAAAATGGAATGAAGTTACGTCAGGGGAAGTTCAAATTGGACATTGGAAAAAGGTTCTTCACCAAGAGAGTGGTCGGTCATTGAAACGGACTCCCCAGGGAAGGCGTACGGCATCAAGCCTGTCAAGAGTTCAAGGAGTGCCTGGATGAGCTTTTAGTCGTATGATCCACTTTTAGGTAGTCCTGTGTGGAGCAGGGAGTTGGACTCAATGATTCTTATGGGTCTCTTCCAACTTGAGATATTCTATGATTTCCTTTACAGAGCAAAGGAGTAGGAAACAAGGATGATCACCCTAATAGCAATTGCCCATTACCTAACAAGGTAAGATTAGCAATGCAGTTACATACAAGTGTATTTTAAATATCTCAAGACATAAACAACCAGAAAAAAAAAACACCCACACATCAAGAATCATTGTGCTCATACAAGTAAATCTGCTTTACCCAGAATGACTGATGGTAACTTCCAGTACAGAGCAACCAGGTCTACCATCAAGACTGCAGAAAGTTATGAGCATCGTATCAGCCACAAGAGATCATCTACCAAACATTAACAAGATCCACATTAACCACAAATGAACTGATTATGATTTTTCTAAAGAGAAAAACATACAAGCTCTACTTCAAGGTCACTCAGGTGGTATTCAGACATGCTTACGATCTTTTGTTTACCTGCCTTCCAAGTAATGGAAGCACTTCTTTGATCACAGTCTGCGTAGTGCTATCCTTATTTACTCGCAGAGAAACATAAGCCATTCCCACCCTAGAGAGAAAAGAAATATTTATTTCAGGACGTTCATTTGACCGGTTCTGTGTGTATCTTTTTGATCTAAGTGACACATTCTCTATGGGGGTATGCAGAAATTTCTATGAGTTGAAGAAAGTTGTTCACCGAGGCTCAATGGCAGATGCAGTATCAGCCCCACAGACATGCAAAGACTTTCATCTCAAGGAACTGGTCACTATAATTGTAACACTGCAAATTAGTTTCTTCCTATACACAGAATTACCTGCAAGTCTTTTGTAAAATTTGGCAATGTAGTTAGTAAAACAAACAAATGTTTAAATTTTATCCCACTGCTCTTAAGAAACGAGTAAGTCACCAGCCAGTCTTGTTTCCACTGCTAAATATGCTTAAAATGTGTATTGTCTCAGTGGTAAATGGAAGAGACTTTTTTCTATATTTTTTTCCTCCTATTTTCACATCAGGACTCACACTGAATTCTTCCTACTTAATATCTCTTTCAAAAAACCATCAAGCTTTCAAGTGACGTGTATGTCATCATCTGTTTACAGATGCAGTTAATGTAAAGTTGTATCTTCTTGGACAAATGCAGGATAACAGAACTGCACAAGTTGTACAATATGTTCCGTGCATGTAAAGAAACCCATAAGCACGTTTCCAGACATGGAAATGAATAATATGCACATTGCTCATTCAGAAAAATAAACAGAAGAATCCTGAAATACAGAAGAAGAAACCACATTCTCCGTTCTACTTGGGCGACTTCAATGACTGAAACACACTGGGCTAGACTAGACAGGACAAACGTAGCCAAGCAGGATAACCTTGTGATAAGGGAGGAAAACACTCACTTCAGCCAGGCAGGATAAATTCTGATCACTTCCTCGTCCCTTGGTTTGGCTCTGATGATCCAAGCTTCAGGAACAGATTCTCGGAATACCGAGCCCAAGTTGCTGTCCTCTGCAGCATTGTTCCTGTTGATAACGTCATCAGACAGCAGCGCCTGCTGCGTAAAGGTCTGAAGCTCATACTCCTGCTGGTCATCATTTATGTAGTATGCCCTCAAAGCAGCCTCCTACAACACAGCAAGATAAATTAACATTTTCTTGAAAAGACACCGTTAATACCTGTATAGCCACAGACATTTATAAATACCTTACTTAAGAAACCAACCTTCGATGCATGTTTTAAGCACAAGACAGTGGATAAATAGCAAAGGTGAAAAACAAAACGAGCGAAGCTTTGAAAACAAACTTTAGTGGAAGATACAAAAAGAAAACTTGAGATATTGATAGATCTGAACACAGCTCACAGTATTTTTGTCAAGTGATGGTCATTTCAACTCCATAGATCAAACGTAAAAGCTCAGCACCAGTAAAGCTATACACACTGCATGTAAAATTTACTCCACAAGGAAAATGGTAAATTACAGTTGATTGTGCCCAGCTCTGCATGTTCAATCTTCTTGCACTAAGGGGATGCTGACAATTAGTGAGTTTCTCAGCCGGAAGGCTGCCCTGAACCCCACATCTGTGAAGAGGAAAGGTATGGGCTGTTTTTGGAAGATGCAAGCAGTCACAGGAATTTTACATCCATTATCGGCCCATGCCTGCAGCACCTCTGCTAACACAGATGCTGCAGTGAATACAGCCCAGTAAGTCACTTATGAGAACTGGTATTAATCTGCCCTGGTATTATAAGCAGCAGCCTGGTACAGTGTGCTTGAAATGCAAGTAGCACTCCTAAATAAACGTGTTTTCAGCACTGTAAACAATTTTCCTTGAAGATCCTTGACGTGCAGAACACTACAAACCACTTTCAAAACTCTTCTTGATTTTGAGCACAATATCAAGATAAAAGTCTTAATGAGCTATAGGTTTAAATTGTCAAAATTCTGATGTAATAAATTCTCCAGACTCCTGTGCTAAGACCTTTATGACTTTGAGTCCTCACCATGCTGAATTCTACTGTGCACCACCCCATACCTGCTCTGGGCTTCATTTCTGCACAGTATGGGGTCTCTGCCTAGCCCAGTAAATTGAGATCTGTACAGAACATTTGATTTAGTACTGACTCGTGTTTCCACCCCAGCACTGGAAAAGCAGGGGAGTGGCCACTATGCAATTGAAAATTCATTACTTTCACAGTCAAGGAGTGGAGGTAACTATGGTATGCTTCAGTCTTCAAAGCTGAGTAATTGAAGTGCAATAGTGGTGGCGGTCCAGCATAAATGCCAAACCACTAAATACTACAGAAGAGGAGGAAGATCTAAAGAGTTGATTACCCAGTATTGCTAACATCAGTAAAATTAGACTTCAGTGTCACATAGGGAAGGAGAATGACTGCATTAACATGCGATATGCTGTGGTCCCCATTATGCTATAGAGAGGTAGGCCACCACTTCTTCAGGTGCTCTAAAATAAGAGTACTAAATGAAGAAGTCAAATTACATTTTAATATTATAGCCCACTTACAGATTTTGTTGTTGCCGAGTTAGGTTTTTAAAACTGTTAGCTTTTGACTGTTGTAATATACAATCATATGCCCCTTTATCACACTGGAATATTGACCTTCACCAGGTATCTTACCACAACTTCTTCATTTTTTGCAATCCTTGGAACTGAAATCAGTCGAAATTGATTGCGTTTCACTGCATCATTCCCATCAAATATCTTTAATGTTTGTTTACCTGAATGAAAACAATTATTGTATTTCAATAACACACCCCTCAAATCATAAAACTACCTGAATAGGAAGCATACAATGGAACTATTAAAAACCTGCTTTTAACCCACTGAACTGTTTCATTCATCACAAGCTTTAAGGTTGAATCTTTTCATTTTTGTTTTGTTACTGTTAATTTAAAACGGATACAGGAAGAGTATTTAAGATATCATAGTTTTACACTGGCTTTTAATGTTTATATGTAACTATATTGGTTATGTTAATGTTATCACTACTTCATCCTCACTATTCAAGATGGCATTTATTATTGGTGAGTTCAACAACTTAAAAACAAAGACAGAGTGCAATCGCTCCCAAAGCACTGCCAGTTCTGAGAGCATCTTTCCAAAGTCAGTCCTTAAAGTACCTGGTAAACTGTACAGACAACAGCAAAAAACACAGGAACAACCGAAAAACTAGAAGAAAGAAGGTACAGCAAATGAACAACTACAACCCTTTGCTGTGTTTAATTTCACTAAAGCCTTATGGAATTCACGCTCAAACCATGGAGCACAAGTTGTTGTTTCACAGGCATCTCTGAAAGAGATGAAGAGTTAAGGATTTCAGGTTGACATTTCAAAAAGATGAGTTAAGGTTCAGTCTGGTACAGTCCACTGTATGACCAAGTCTTCCTCTTATTTAAGCAACTATTTTAAGAGCAATAGCAGATTGTAACCAAATTCTCATAGAACAGGCAGGTTTTGAGAGGCTTTAAAAACAAATTCACATTATCAGTCACACATGTGTGTCCTTACCGCCTATGGAAAGGAATCAGGTCAATCAATCCAGACCAAAAAGGAGATTCCAACAAGACAGACCTTATGACCTCTCCTGATCACACCTTTATTAAGAGACCTCATGAGCTGTTCAGTTTTGCAAGTTCTTTGATGTACTCCCCAGAGAGCTCGAAGAACCACATTAGTGAACTACCATTTGTCACAGAAAGATGAAAAAGGAAAGCTGGAACTGGAGGCGCTAAAAGCCAAACCATCCCTAACAGATAGCTGAGAAAAGGAAGCTAGAATCCCAGGCAGACGTGCATCATTGGGTATTTCAAAGCTGCAGCAACAAATTAAGAGGAAACACTGCAGTGAGTAACTGCTTTGTAAGGACACTTCATTGATGCTCTGCAAGACTTCTAGAGCCACCTGAAACTCAGGTACGCCATGTCTAATCCACCTATTCCTGTTTCAGTGTATATTCTGTCATTCCAATCAAAGGCAGACACTGAGCACAACTAAAGGTTCATCAGACCTAAAGCTTCATCCAATACTATGTTTGAAAGCAGGCTTTTTTTAAACAAGACTATAACCCTCAAAGAAAAATCCTGCTACTTTCATTCTCGTTACCTTTATTTCTCATTATTTTCAGATGCAACAGCTACTCTTTAGACTTCTTTTTCAATTTGGACTTGTCTACTTATTAAGGCCTTTCTTCATTAACAATTCCACACAATGTGTGTACAAGGACCTTCTCATTAGGTAACATAAAGATCTAATTACACAGCAAAACAATCACCAGTATAGCCTCCCATTCTACTCCAAACTCATCTTAGTCTCTCCTAGGACAGAAGTGGCTATGTTGATCGGCAGGTGCTTCAGCAGCAGCACTTCCCTTTACAGGAGAAGAAAACTGAGTGAGATCACTCCAGGAGCAATCACTTCCAACTCAGGATTTGGGCAGTAATTCAGTATAAAGCTTTAATCTTTTTGCATTTATGAAACTATGATAAACCATGCAGGAACAAGAAAATGTTTTATCTTGAGACCTTTAGAGGAGAGTAGGACTGAAGGTGGTCCATCCCACATGCATCGATGTTATAAACAGGAGTTATAGCCAGGAGTATGAGGAAAGCTCTCATACCCTTCTCTGGAAATGGGCATAGCTGGGCACCTCTCTGAAGCACCCGTACATGACTGCCCACAGCATGAGGCACAACCAGGAGAAACTGGAGGTCTGTGTGCCGTGCAGGGCTGCGATCTCATTGGGGTCGTGGAGAGCTGTTGTGACAGCTCACCCCATTGGTGTGCTACCATGGGTGGACACAGGCTGTTGAGGAATGACGGGCTATAATGGTGAGGAGGAGGAGGAGTTTCTATGAGTCCCTCTGATGTCAGGGCGGTGAGGACACTTGGAGCTCTGCCTTAGGATGGATGATGGAGACAGCAAGAGCTTATGTCTTATGGGTAGTGGATAAACCAGTGGATGGGTGACACGGTGGCTGTCTGTTACAAATGCCGTAATTGGGAAGATGTGGTAGATAAAGCAAGTGATGCTTGCCGTAATTGGGAAGATGTGGTAGATAAAGCAAGTAATGCTTCCTTCTGACAACTGCAAGAAGCCTCATATTTGCAGGCCCTGATCCTCACAGAGGATTTGTCCCTCCAGCAGGTATGGCAGTGGCTCAAGACAGCCAAACATTAGTAATCTAAGAGGTCTCTAGAATGTGTCAGAATTCTGTCATCGGCACAAGTGATGAGCTGATGAAGGAAGATGCTTTGCTGGACCCAGTTCTTACAAACAAGGAAGAACTGGTTGGGGATGTAAAGGCTGGGGACAGCCCTGGCTGCAGTGACTATGAACTGGTAGTGTTCGGGAGCGTGAAAGGAGAGGAATAAAGCAAACAGCAGTATCAACAAGCCAGGACTTAAGGAGAGCAGACTTTGGCCTTTTCAGGAACCTGCTTGGAAGACGCCCATAGGATACAGTCCTGGAGAGCAGAGCGGTCCAGGAGAAGCAGTGGATTTTCAAGGATTGCCTCCTCCAATGTCAAGAATGGCCTGCCCTAGCAATCGGGGAAAAAAAGCAAAAGGTCGTAGAAGCACTCATGGATGAACAAGGAGCTCCTGACTTAACTGTACCATAAAAGGAAGCACATGCACAAGAGACAGCAGAGCTGGGCGAAGCAGAAGGAATACAGAGACACTGTCCAAACATGCAGGGATGGGGACATGAAGGGCAACAAGAAAGGCTTCTGCAGGCACTTGATCAGCAAAAGGACAACTAGGGAAAATGTAAGCCTGCTGACGAATGGGAATGGGGGCCTGATCTTAAAGGACATGGAGAAGGCTGAGGCACTGATTGCCTTCTTTGCCTTGATCTCTACTGGTAAGATCAGTCATTGGCAATCCCAAGGCTCCTGAGACCAGTAGTAAAGTTGTTGCAAGACCACTGTCAATTATCTTGGAAAGGTCATGGTGGTTTGTGAGAGGTTCCTGAGGACTGGAAGAAAGCAAGTATCACCCTTACCTTCAGGAAAGGTGGGAAGGAGGATCTGAAGAACCACAGGCTGATCAGCCTGACCTTGATCTCTGGGAAGGTGATTGGGCAACAAATCCTGGAAACCATTTTTAAATGTATAAAAGGAGTGAGAGTATTCAGCATAGACCTATTAAGGGAAATCATGCTTAACCAACAAGGTAGCTTTCTATGATGAGACAGCTGGCTGGGCAGATAAGAGAAGAGCATTGGATGTTGGTTTTATTTACTTTAGTAAGGCTTTGACACTGTATCCCTTAACAGCCTCATAGACAAATGGATGAAGTACGGACTAGGTTAAGTGGAGAGAGAGGTGGACTGAAAACTGGCTGTGCTGCTGCACTCAAAGGGTTATGCACCAAAGCGTGAAGTCCAGCTATAGGCCAGTCACCAGTGGAGTACTGTTGCAACTTGATACTGGGGCCAGTATTGTTTAGCCTCTTAACTGATGACCTAGATGATGGGACAGAGTACACCCTCAGCACATTTGCAGAGGACACAAGACTGGGTTGACAGACCAGATGGGTGTGCTGACATTCAGAGGGACCTCAACAGGCTGGAGAAATAGGCCACCAGGAACCTCATTAAGTTCAAAACAGTGAAATGCCAAGCCCTGTACCTGGACAATAACCCAGGCAAGTTTGACAGAAATACCCTGGAGGTCCAGGTAGACACCAAGCTGACTGTAAATGAGCGACACGCCCTTAAAGGAAAGATGGCCAACAGCATCCTGGGCTTCGGTAGTAACAGCATTGCCAGCAGGTTGACCAAAATGATTATTCCCCTCTACTTAGCCTTGCTGAAACCTCATCAGGAGAGCTGTGCCCATTCCTGGGCTCTTCAGTACAAGATAGACAGGAGTGTACTGGATTGAATGCAGGGAGGGCCCATGAAGATGATGACAGGACTGAAGCATGTCTCAAATGAGGAGATGCTGAGAGAGCTGGGAGTGTTCATGCTGGAGGAAAAAAAGATTGAGTGTTGTCTTATCCATGTGTACAAGTAATCAGTGGGAGAGTATAAAGGTGAAGAGACAAGAGGCAACTGGCACAAACTGAAACACAAGAAGTTACATTTAAACCTAAGAAAAAAACCCCACTTTTCTACTGTGAGACTGGAATAGGTTGTCCAGGGACAGTTGTGCAGTCTCCATCCTCAGAGGTATTCAAAACTCGACTGGACACAACCTTGAACAAATTGCTCTGATTGACTCTGCTTGAGCAAGGGGTTGGCCTAGATAATTTCCATACTGTCTACAACTTCAGCCATGCTGTGACTGTGAACAGAAGCCTGTACAAGGGATGCTTGCACAACAAAAGAGAGAGAGAAAGAGAGATATGAACAGAATAAATAACACCATAGAATCCTAGAATAGTTTGGACTGGAAGGGAACTTCAAAGATCAGCTAGTCCAAACACCCTGCCATGGACATAGACATCTTCCACTAGATCAGGTTGATCAAAGCCGTGTTCAACCTGACCTTGAACACTTCCAATGATGGGGTATTCACAACTTCACTAAGTAACCTGTTCCAGCGTCTCACCACTCTCATTGTAAAAAATTTTGTCCTTATACCTAGTCTAGATCTAAACTCTAAATCTAGAATCTAAATTAAATCCCTTTTAGTTTAAAATCATCACCCCTTGTCCTATTGCTACAGGCTCTGCTAAAAAGTCTGTCTCCAGCTTTCTCACAAGCTCCCTTTCA